GACGAGTAGAACATTTTAAAATTAACCAGTGTAGTGAAAAGTTGATATAGTAGAGTATTTCATTATTTAGCTCCTGAACAAAATGAAAATATTCCATAAATTCGTTGTTGGTGGTGTTTGAAGTTAAGCAGAAAGCTACACAATGGGCTATCTGTGTTCTGCCCACCACGGGTATCGAAACCCGGTTTCTAGCGTTATAAGTCCTCAGACATACTGCTGTGCCACTAGGGGTCTTTATTCATTTGTTATTGGTGGTGTTTGAAGTTAAGCAGAAAGCTACACAATGGGCTATCTGTGTTCTGCCCACCACGGGTATCGAAACCCGGTTTCTAGCGTTGTAAGTCCGCAGACATACTGCTGTGTCACTAGGGGGTCTTTATTCATTTGAAACATTTCAGTAAAGTACAAAGATAAGAGTATATGTCGATTTTTTGCTGTGTTGTTAAAATACTTGCGTATGAAAATAGAGCATTAAAATCATGTTCACAAAAACACCTTTAGTTTGGCGCATCATGGATTCTCTTAACATTTATATAGAATTGGTGCTTATGCGATCAAATCTCTAAATTCCAAGAATCCATATCCTCGGACGTCTAAGTCTTTGACAGCATCTACGTTTATTAGAGCAGGAACCTATATCTTCGAACGTCAAATAACTCGACCACATCTATGTTTTATTAAAGCTGTGATTTTTCCACCTGACTTCATTTTATGGTATATCTAGTTTCAAGATAATTTATTCTTTGTTTGTTTGTATTTAAGCACAAAGCTACACAATGGGCTATCTGTGCTATCCACCACGGGTATCGAAACTCGGTTAGCACTGTGCCACTAAGAATGATGATTTCTGTATAAAAGTCTCTATTTTGTTTTCACTTAAACCTGTCAGGTTTGATGTACCTCATATGTTGTCAGTTAAGAACACTTAAACCCAACTAATGAATATTCAATAACCAAATCACGATAAGTTTACAGCTAGTTGAATTATAGTTACATTATAGTTAATTATATATATATCTCCACAATAAAAACAAAACTTTAACAACACAAAATAAACCTAAGAATTGCGTATGCTTAACATTCATTTATTTAATAATCATATTTAATGATAGTTAAAAGCGATTTGGTTATTTTTTCTTTTCTTTGTAATTACGGACTTATTAAACTAAACTGTAGAACTTAAAGATTTCCATTCCTTTATTTGCTTATAATGGGGATTCTGTCGAACATCCTTTTCTAATTCCTAGACTGAAATTAATTTTGGCTATGCATAGTTTAGTTCTATGTGGAATTACAAACAATAGTTCATGTGAAACTAAACGAAACTTCAAAATTACAGTCACGCAGACTCACGTTTGTAAATATCAAATCCTTGAAATTTTAATCTTGGGATTCTTATTTTCTTTTAACTGTCTATTATTTCCATTGAGTTATACAAAAACAAACAAAAGTGCCCGTCCCCAGTGACGGGAAAAGTTTAAGTTAATCTATCAACTTAAATTATTTCGTGTATTTTAAAAAATGTTAATTGTGTTGCACTCTTGGTTTCATTAACTCAGAGCCTAAGCTCTGAGTTACTTATACCGCCCACCGTGACATGTAATGGTTGAGCATTTCAGTCATGCTAAAAGCCGCTTAACAACCACATACGGTAAATGCACGTTTTTAGCTGCGGCATAGTTGCTCATAGAACGGCTCTGAGTTTTTTATTGTTTTTTCAAGTACAAATTTTTAGCTGATAGTTCTGTCATCTCTTACCGATTTTGGACTCAGGAGGTCAAACCCTTTCGATTGACACATCTGACCACACCCAAGATATCATAGATTAATTTACTCTAATCCTGCCTAAAAGAATTTCGATTTAAGGGTAAGCTGGTATAAATCCTGATGAGTAATAAAATTGAACCGGTTATACACGCACCCCGTGCTTTGTATTGCTGACGCAAAAAGATATAACTAATAAAAATGAAAAAAAAAAGTATCATACATTAATTTACAATGATCCTTCCTAAAAGAATTCCAAGTGCCGCGGTTGTTGAGGATTCCCTCTTATTATTCTTTAAGTTACGTCACATTTTGAAATGTGGGTGGAAAATTACTAAGTCATCACTCCTGTTAATAACATACAGTGTGTCATGTAGGTTGTTTTAGCCGCACGACATACTACCAGGTGTCTTAATAACACACAGTGTGTCGTGCAGATTATTTTGGCCACACGACACACTACCGTGTATCTTGGCTAGTATTTCCAAGTGGGGTAAATTCCAGAACTCAAAATTCACTTTTGAAATGACGGCATAAATAATGATGATGATGCCATATTTTATTTCACAAGCGGGACATTCTACACTAAAGTGTTAGGAATTAATTATGCTATCACTCCTAAGTCAGCCGCCTTTAATCTGAATGACAAAAAAACTAAGAACTGTCCACCTTTACACTTAGTAAAAATTTTCGAACAATAGCTCACGTGGCTTTTGCGTAGGTGTGCGAAATATTTTCGTCAAAATTAAGCTGTTTTTGCTGAATAACTTTGCACACGTGGCTTATATTTAGACCAAATTTGACATATAATTGTAGAATGTAAAGGTCTATTAGTGTATTAAATTTGAAAAATATCCAGGAAAGTTAAGTATGTTTTTCTATCAAATGAAATTTCCTTACTTTTGGTGAGAAGAAAAAAAAAAGGAAGAAATTCAAACATAATTTAGATGTTATATCTTATGTATTTCTTAATGGATTACCTTGAAATTTGGTATCTGAAGTAAGAGTCTAGTACAGCATATCCACTAAAAATGTGTGATAATTTGGATTACCACAGTTCGAAATACAGAACCCAGCAAAATTATAGGGTGAAAGTACGTGCAGATACATAAGTATTTGTTAGGCCAAGCAAACTAAATTAGTTTCTAATTCAAGTTTTCAAAATAATCATACAGGTGGACGGTTATTATTCATTATTCATTACCAACTTTTAAGTACAAATTTGCTAAATTTTATGAAATTATCCTAATTAAAGAGCGTTTAGCGTCACGTGATATTAGTTTAAGCAATTAATGTAAATAATAATGCTTGATACAGCTGTACCGAGTGTATGCGGGTGATGACAAGGAACTGTTAATCTAGTTTCCATGGCGTTACTTTAAAGGAAGTTATTAACTCTGTTTTAGAGAGAAAAACTACCACCTTATATTTTAAAGAATCTGGTTGGTTCTGTAAAGTATAGGTCTGTTCCGTATAATAGGGTTGAGATCCTAAAGCTAATGTTGGTTAACATCGAATGTCACTTTCTTATTTGCTGTGGTTTGTTGGTGTATATTGACAAAAAGTCATGATATCTAATCAAAAACACCTTAGGTGTGAAAAAAAAAGGGTGGCTAAAAAAAAAAAAAAGGATCAGGGCATGGTGGTTAGTA